GCTGCTGCTGTTCTGCTGCTGCGGCAAATGAAGGCAAGGAAGACCGCGCAGCAGCAGAGGATGTGGGAGCCGCTACAGAAGCTCCTGATACAGCAGCACAACCTACAGCAGCAGGATCTACTGCTCCCGGAGCGGTTGCAGCCACAGCTGCGGAAGCGGCCGCAGCAGCAGGTGTTGCAGCAGCAGCAGCAGCACCCGCACTGACAGGTACGTCACCCTCCGCAAGCATCATTGCTACCTTAGTGAAGCCCCCAGCAGCAGCTTTTGCTGCGACAAATGTCTTATCTTCAAGTGCAGCAGCAGCAGCAGTAGAAGCCGCTATACCAGGCGGCATATACTGTGAGGCAGCCACACTACTCGCTGCTGCAGCTGGTACTGGTAGTGCTGCTGCAGCGGCAGCCGCTACAGCAGCAGCAGCAGCGCTACCGGGACCTGAACTGTCTGCGTTTTCCTCTGCTAGGCTTGCATGCACCACGACCTCCGCTGCATGCAGACTGGTAGCAGTAGCAGGTTCTGCTGCTGTGGATGTTGCTGCTGCAGCAGCAGCAGCAGCTGCTGCTTTGGGTCCTCCAGAAGCAATAGGAACAAGCATATCCGACTGGCGTGCAGGTAGGAACTGCTGCTGCTGTGGCTGTCGCTGCTGCTGCTGCTGATGCTGTATCTGATGCTCTAGACGATCCCACGGGGACACAGTTGCAGCAACATTCTCTACAACAGCAGGAGGAGAACCAGATGTTGCTGCAGCAATTGTCGGGCCGACAAGGATATCTGCTGCGCCGACGAAAGAGGAGAACGCCACGNAGATGTTGCTGCAGCAATTGTCGGGCCGACAAGGATATCTGCTGCGCCGACGAAAGAGGAGAACGCCACGCTGCTGTTGCTTCTGTAGACCGCAGTGGCAGCAGCAGATATAGACTCAGTGCTCAGAGACATTGCCCTGTTGAAGCGTTGTAACTCCTGTAGCTGCTGTTGCTGCTGCTGCTGCTGCTCTGCGCCACCAGCAGCAGCAGCATCGGCGGGATAAGGCCTTCGGCCAACAACCCCTTCATTCCACCCCTCCCACCCTGAAGTCAAACTTCCTCTTCGTGCTTGTTGCTGTTGCACTGGAGCGATCCGATGGGGCCCGCTGGGGGGGAATGGGTGGTGCTGCTGCGGCCTGGACTGTTGCTGCTGCAGCATCCACTGCTGCTGCTGCTGCAGATGCGGAACCGCTGCGGCAGAGGCCGCAGCAGATCCCGCTGACGCCGCACCAGCAACCTCTTCATTCCACCCCTCCCACCCTAAAGTCAAGCTTCCTCTTCGTGCTGGCTGCTGTTGCTGCTGCTGCTGCTGCTGCGGAGAGTTTGCTGCATTCATGGTCGTCGATGCAGAAGAGTCTACCTGCAGCAAATCTTCCTGCTGTTGCTGCTGCTCCTGGCGCCGCAGCTGCAGGTAGTGGGAAACCTGTCGGTGCAAGAGGTGCTGCTGCTGCAGCCACGGTGGCGGCAGCGCGTGCTGCAGCAGCCGTGTCGCATGCAGATCAGCAGAAGCAGCAGCAGCAAAGTAGTAAGACACCAGACTGAGGGCCATACAAAAGTTGTTGCTGCAGAGCTTCAGAGCAACCGCGCAGCTGTCGTTGCTGCAGCCTGAGGCCTCCACCAGCATCAG